TAATCGATGAAATAATGTGGCTTATTACACATTTGTTTAGAGTAAAATCAATTAATGTAAATACTTCTTGATAAAATTCGAACAATAGCAATTAAAATTATGTCAATACACGAATATGAACTACCTAATAATTGTTTATTTTAGTACCTATTGATGTTAAGCTAATATAAAACAATGCAGCCCGGTCTTCAAATAACTAGAGTTTTTAAAAGCTAAGAAACTTTGGTCATTACATTTTTAAAATTATAGTTTCTGTCATAAAAGTTTTCGTTTTGCTAAAATATTGTATATACACTACATATCAACTAGGTATTTAATTACTACCTGCAGTTATTTATAATTTATTGTAATAAAACATGATATGTATTTAAATGAAATCAATTACTAAAGACTTCACCAATTATAAAATAATAAAAAAATAAAAAAATCGAAGAACATTATAATTTATTTAGTATTACGGCAGTGTCTTCATAAAAATAAGAATATTATTTAGTTAACTATTGCACAAAAAATATTATTTACACATTTAACTAACGAAAACAATGATCTCACATGATATTGATTAAATATATAAATATATTGATACCTATAGGTATAATAGAAATAGATGAATTCTAATCTACAGGGCTTAGAATTTAATTGCATATCGATGAATTTGATTCTGAATTTAATGTAAATAAGATAGATACTTATTTGATTCAAGACATAACTTTTTCAAATTCTTGTTTTTATTTTTTCGTATAAGTGTTTTTTCTTATGATTTCATTACAGAATATATCTAGTGCACCAGGTGTCGAGCGTATCTCGTCATTGAGTAAGTCACAGCAATGTGTGTGTTAAATTTGAATTCGATGATAAATCATTTCATACGAAAAACGATTCTGAGTGAAGACGGTCTGTCAGCCAATATTAATAAGTATATTTTATGTTAAAACTTAGATGCATTTATTATTTATATTACCAGTATAGTAATTTATTTTAACATTAGTAATTAAATTGGTAGGCTGAATTAATTTTTATCAAAAACATTACATTTCTTAAACAATTATAATAGAACATATTATAGGTTTCTTATCCGTTGTGTTCGTCTCTCCAATAGTTAAGACTGTTGATATTAATATTTATATTATTTATTTCCAGTAGTTACTAATTACTATACATACAGATACATTGACACATTGTATATAAAATTATAATATATTGCGTTGTATTAAATACGTTTAGCTAACCTAACTTGTTTATCATACTATTATTATTGTCAATACCATCAATACCACCGTCCACCGACTTACTGCAGACCAGTGTGAATAAGTTCGAGGTGTAAACAGGCAAAAGTATAATATTAGTCTAATTTGTTTGAAAATATTTTTGTGTAAGTACCTGTATAAAATATAGGTATGTAAGTAGGCAACAATATATGTAAAAGTTTCAAATCCCCATTAAAAATATTTTTGAATAACTACAAAATAATTAAAATCGTTATTTTTGGTTTAAATATAAAATTCAGTCCAAATTTGAAATGATAACTTACATTACTCTGACTTACTCAATTAAGAGGTACACTCAACACCTGTGTACAGCAGAGTGGTTACATACTTTCCAGCCTTTTTTTTTGTTTATAGGTACTTACATTAAATTATTGAAAAGGTTAAAGAAGCCTTATTTGAAATTTTAACTAAACATTGTTACTTTATGAAAAAAGTATTTTTATTTTCACTAGGTGGTTTCCTTACTTAAATATTAGAAAAACTAGAAAAAAATTTAGAAAACTTTCGTTTATGGATTATAATTTTTTAATAAGATTGGAAAATTTAACCAATTGTTTTATCTATTAATTAGACGAATGTGAAAAATATAAAATGTGTTAACCATTTTAAGTTGTACACTTGTACCTATAGAATTTTGAATAGTTTATTTAAGTTTATTGTTATGAGTTTTAAAGTTATTATTATTTAGAACTGAATATTTTCTAAAAGCTGATCTTTATGTAGTAAAAATAAAACTACTTGTGGACACATAATTCATATTTAAAAAAAATCGTTTTTGAATGTAGGTATAATATTATATTCCCTATATATATTTTTTTTTTAACACTTATGAATTAATATAAATATAAATTTAACCTTTTATTGATTTATAATGGAGATTTAATTCGAACGTGAATATAAGAAAAATAATTTACCTACATTTTAATTTATTTGTATTATTATTATTATTTATTAGTATTCTCTATTGACGGAGAAATATCCAATTACAAAATAATTTATGTACAAATACATTGTGTAGGAGTATACAAATTTACATTAAATAAAAAAAAAAAAACAAAACTATAGCTAGTACCAATTACATCAAAATTAAATTATTCATAAACATACAAATATAAACATATCATCATAACATAACTTTATAACCGTAATTTACAATCAACTACAATTTTTTACTTCAGTAGTATTTCTTATGGTCATCAGAATATTTTCTGAATATGAGCTTAAATAATTCTTAGAAATATTATAAATTAAAAAACTGTTTTGATTTCTTGTAGATTTATTATTTTTTCGAAAATGGAATTATTCTAACAAATAAGGGCACTCTATGGAGTTGTTTAATAATTTTAGTGGGGAACGGAGTGGCCGAGCGTACTAAGGCGTCGATTGCGAATAGCACCATCGCCGGTTCGAAACCAGGCCACGGGCGGCACTTCTCTTCGGGCAGTCACCGTGTCTGGAGAGAGAGAGAGACAGCCATTCCCCACCCAGGCATGGCAGATACCTACGGGTGTCGGGTGCCAACTAGAAATTTCTGCCAAACTAACAAATACACGTGTTTAAACCTGCAGTACCGTCCCCCACAGTTAAAAACCACCCAATGGCCTAAGTTTCCGTGGGTTAATTAAAAAAAAAAAAGGTGTTAAGTGGATGTCACTCTGCTGTACAGTTGGTTACAGGTCGGTCAATGTATAATGGATTCTATTAAACTTGAATTCAATTATATAATATAATTGTATAAGAAAAACGATTTTGAGCGGAGTCGATTTGTGAGTCTGGATTTTTTATATTGTTATTATTTAATATAGCCTGTAAGTTGGACTATTGTTATAATAATATTATTATTTTTTATTCGTTGCAATGGTAATAAATAAAGCTTTAGAAATTAAAATCCCATTTTTAGTGGTTTTTCGTAATTTGTTGGTAGTTTTTTTTTATTAAATAACTATTGAGAAAATCGAAAAATTACATCTTTCAAGTACCATCTTGATACAATTTTCTAAATGATAAGGTACTATATGTTTAAATTGAAGCACTCCTTCTAATAAACATTTTGTATACAGGATAAAAAAAAAAATAAACACCATTGTAAAACCACTAGCTTCCTCACTCAAAATCAAAAAAAAAAATAATGTTTGTAAAAATGTATTGGGGGGTACACTCTACTTTTTTTTTATTAATTATAAATTAGAACACAATAATAATATACCATTAAACTCAGTATGTCGTGGGCGTTAAATTCGAAGGATAGAAAACGGAGAAATCAATTTTGGACTGCTTCAAGATTTTGAATTGTACAAATTTTATCTAAGTACTAAATAAAAAAAGGCATATTCTAATTAAGATCTTACAAAATATGCAAAATATAAATTTCGTAAAACATCGTATTTGTTAAAATGTAAGCATGTAATTGTAATAAAACCTAGATTTAATAAGGCTTTATTTGTTGTTTTTTCAATATGACTGTTGAAACATAGGTTTTAGAGTCAAAAGTAACCTAAGTCTATATAAATGATTTAACAGATTCTATAGATACATTATTTAGCTTATAATCATAAGCAACACTGGTTTTACTTATACTGAATGTTAATATTTTACATTGGTTGATATTAAGATATTATTTATTTAAATTACACCAATAATTATTAAATTACCAACAATTATTAAATTGTTTTATATCTTCTTGTAAGCTACTACAATCGTGGATTGAATCAATTTTTTTTTTAATAATTTGTCACCATTGGCTAACAATAGGATATTAGAATGTTTTATAACCGATTGAATATCGTTTATAAATAATAAAAACAAGGTTGTCGATAGGTGATATTTTGAAAGACACCTGAAACAACATGGACAGTTTCAGAAAAATAATATTTAAATTTCATGATCTGAGTTATTCTATATCTGGATATTATACTTCGAATATAAAACTCTTGATTAACTTTTATTTAAATTTTCCTTCTGATGTTTATATAACATACATACATCTACCGTTATCTTTAGACTCATATCCCAAACAAACTTACATACTTACAACTTTTCAAGACATTTTTATTACGTCACTGCTTGTATTGAACATTAAATATTCATAGTCAATCCACTAACAAAATCCGTATAGATATCATTATAATAATGTTAATATAATGAAGTTTCAATAAGAATAAAAACGAAAAATACCATAGTTTTATACATTTTATATTACTTATAGCTTATATATATAAATAAAATAAATGTTTATATTTTCTGCCTATAATATGGGATAATCTGAGTTTGAGCTGAAGTATATTGAATATTTACTATTTAGTTTCACCTTAATTTACTGAGTTCATAACGTGTTTTGTAAATTTTAGGGTGTGTTTATAAGGATGTTTTTATTATCCGTTTTTTGAAAAAAAAAATATTTTAAACTGGACAGAAAATGTTATAACTATACTCTTTTCAAGTTAAGAAACGTAGTTAGCGGGGACCAGTTATCGTCGGGCCTCCACAACACCCGTTTGTCACTCCCACCCAGTCGATAATCTGTATATCTGCCGTGTAATATTAATATATTTGCTGTCTAATATTGCCACGCCCCTGAGCACAATTCAGCTACCGATTACGTTTCTTAACTCGAACAGAGCATAATATTATTAATGAGTGCATTTTTACGATTGCCCACAACGATAAATTATAATTATTAATTTGTATATTATGTTTTTAAAATGTTTTCAAACGGTTGTTTTTGTTGCTCAGGTACTGGACGGACCACAAGTCGGCGCAGATGGTCGATCAGAAGGTACAGCACGCACTCTTCATGTTCGCTTGCACAAATTCGTGTATGAACCCGATCGTATACGGAGCGTTCAATATACGCACCAGGAGGACGCTGGTGACCCAGGTGAGACCCAGTGCCAGTTTGGCGTCCACCGCATGCACCACTGAAATACGGCTGCCTGCGCTTTCCATATCGGTTCGCCGGGTCGAATGACAATAATAATAATAATAATAATAAGTAATAACTAATAATAACATTCCCCCCATTTCCCCCCATCCTCCGGTCATCGTTCACATAATATTACAGTAATGCATATAAACGCTAAAAAAATATATTACACACACACACATGACACACACCCTGCAGCTATCCGTGTTTTCACGTCCTTACTTGTAAGAGTTTTCGCATGCGTTGTTGTTAGAAATCAAAATAAATATTGCATTTTTATTTTATACCGTTTGCGCATTCTGCGTGCCATAATATTATTATAAAAGTAAAAGTCTAAAAACCAATAATCTCAAATAGCACATATAGTCCAAGCCATAGGAAGTTCCATAAATACGCACAGTACAATAGGATTTAACTTATGTATATTTTATAAGATTTGTGGTAAATAATAGTAATAAACTTCTTCCTCCAATTCAATATATTATATTATAGACACACCATTTTACGTTTCTTACTCACACTCGTATCTATAGTAACCTACCACAGCTTAATACCTATAATGATACATTTGAAACTCGATTTTTAACAATAACTGTTTTAATAATGTGGGGGCATTAGCAACATTGAAAATCAACAAATATTTTCCTGATATGCTTTCATTAAACTTAATGATGAGGAATAATTTCTTAAAAAAATATACATTCGTATAGTATAATTATTATTGGACTTTTTAATCTGTTTGCTTTAACTTTCTTCGAGTAGAAGAACACGATATAGTGCGGTACCAAATCTCTCTCTTTGCTATCACTTCATATCTTTATAGCTCTACGGTATAAACATTATCGTAATATTTATTAATAATAATTGGCAGTAGGTCATTTTTTTATTTATTGTGTCAATATAAATATATTTATAAATTATAAGTCAACATATTATATAAGTACGTATTTGTTCAATATTTTTTAATCTAACGGAAATTAAATTAATTTTATTTATTATTTATTTTCTTTTATATCAAATCAAAGACATTGATAATGATATTTTAAACCTAAAAATATGTTTAGGTGTATCATAGTTAATAAATTAAGATTTTTTATGTAAAATTAAATACAATTATTTTAAGCTTTTTTTTCTTAACAGTTATGTTAAGACGTTTACGTAAGAGCTAAAATAGTTATTGACACCCTCACCACTATTCTTTTAAGAAACAACTAATTAAACATGGTACCTATATTCAAGCTATGATTTCCTTATTGAAAATAATATTTAACAAATCAATCGCATTGACTAAACTTTACCTTTTTTAACGATTTAGCCTTATATAATTAACATAGTATGCGTTGTTTCGTTCTGTTAACTAATAAAATCAATTTAAAAATACTATACATACCTACTTGAACTGACGATTGATTAACATTTAAATTCATTCATAATTTATTCATAAATTACAAATATCCACGTATTTATCTATTTACTATAACTTATTTGTTTATTTATTTAATTATTACTTTTAAAAATTATTCTTTGAACATTGAGAAAGAAATCGTTAGTTCAAGTTTTTTTAAACCATATACTATAATAATATTTTGCTGTTATTATATATTATACTAGGCAACAATTTCTAAAACTTCTACTGAAACCAGAGTATTGGACTTTTGAAGCCCGCCAGATGGACGGTGATGATATACATCTATATATATATATATATACGTTTAAACGTTTTACGTTAATTTTTTAATTTTAACTATATATTTTAATAAAATATCTAGTTGTAAAACTATTTCGGTCATAATAATTATTCTCTCTCTCTATAGTTTCAATCCGTAGATAGTAAGATAGATAGTAGGAAATTATTAGGTAATATTAATTAATTTAAACGAAAAACATGTAATACCAATAACATGCTCTAAAATTGCTGATATTCATTTTGTTATATCCCATGCGTGCAGTAGATATAGGTACTTGACATATACATATACGTACAAATAACTGAACTTTCATGTACGAGCTTATATAATATATAATATCAAATTTGATATATGAACTTTTTCAGTAGTAATTACCTATAATCATATAAAATATTATAATAATCTATTATATCATAGTTAATAGTTATATTATGTACAACTCTTTACATTTTAAAACCGATACTAGTCGTTTAGGTAAATATTAAATTTGTATTAAATGTGTAATGAGTTTGATATATTCCGCACATCTAAAATGTATCTACTACAGTTGAAAATGTAGTTAAAAAAATAATAAATAATTCTTTAAAATTTTCATTTCGTACAATCACACTAATATATACAAAGTGGGGATGTCTTAACTAATGTAACCACTTTTTAATGTAATACCTTATTACTACTCGTAATAATTATGATTTATTATTGAATTCAATAAATTATTACCAGTACTAATGGCCGAACGCCTAAGGGCATATTGAAATTTAACGGTCATGCTTCAAATCAATGGCTTTAGAATAAATAGATAGCGATAAAATGAAATTTTGATGTTCAGAACACGCAGGTGGAATTGCTTTAGAGATAATCGAACAACTGGAAAATACAATAACATCGCGTTTTTATTGATAGCACATTACTTATATAGATTTATTTCATAGCATTTTTTCAGCTTATTTTGAAGTACATTCAGATATATATAAGTCTTATACCAAAAATGATACATTTTTAGTTGTAGTCCCTAGTCTTGTATTAGATGTGTAATAATATGTATTTTCTTAAATCTGTCAGCACAATGGTGTTTGGCGATATCCTAATTATTCAATGTTTCTACATTAAGTAGATCGTGTAATATTATATTTTATCTCAAATTTGTTCATCTCGTTTCCCCTAAAGGCCCGTGGGTAGTCATCCCAATAACATGTGAATGATTCTTATTAGAGTATTTTTATTGATGACAAGTAGGACAGAAATAAATTCTGTTTTAGTTTAATGCTTGCTTCGAAAATCAAATGTAATTTATTTAATTTTATCGCATTGGCTTGATAGATTAATGCAGTTTTTTTATTATTATTAAATTTCAAATATAGCATTGCATGTTTTTTAGCCTTAATTATTGTACAGATTATGTTAATAATGTAAGTTGATATTTCAAAGTACGGTATATGATTTTAATTAAAAATGTTATTTATTTATTTTGTGTTTACTAATTCAATATAATGAACGTAATATATAAAATATTATATATATATTGAACATAATTTGTGTTTATATAAGAGTTAAGTTATAAGTTTTATAATGATTAGTGTTTCTATTGTTAATACACAATTCAGATAAAATTATCACAAATTATTAAAATATGATTAATATTTATTATACTTACAATTATTATAAACATCATTAAATGGCTTATTTTAATTAAATCAATGTCATTTAAATATGAAATATTTATTATTTATCCTAAATGCTTAGAACCGAAAGAATTCTAATCAGCGTGTTCTAATCTTGGTGTCTGAACGTTTTAAGATTATCTAAAAGCCATAAAGTGGTTCTTAGAATAATTAAAGGTTCTTGATCTATGATCAAAATTAATTTAATATTAACTTAAACTTTAAACTTCAAACTTTAAAACAAAACTTTTTTAGTGATCTTAGGGTATAAATGTTTAAAATACAGGATTAAATGATTACCTGACCTATTATATTATTACCTGCTTAATATTCTATATTATAGAAATTAAAAGAAAAATGTTAAACCAGTATAACATCCCTATTATATTGGCACCAAAAACAGTAGACTCAAACAAAAACATCAAGTCATCAACAACTACATTATATTATAATATAAACTAATATAGATCATAACTCACAAAAAGCTTGTCTGCTCCATGTACCTACTTAAGTTATATCGTTTTATCACTACCGAAAATATTTATATTTTAAATTTAAATTTTTGTTTGAAACAACAATAATGATTGAAGTTTGAAATGTACGTAGGTAGATCAATATACAAATTATATTTAGTTAAGTTGTAATATTACGTTATTGTTGATATAATATACATGATCCATCAACACCTATCAGTATGAATTCAATTTAATTAAACAAAAAGTTTTCTTAAATTAGTTTTCTTTAAGTTTAAACAACTCAAAATCGATAACTAAACTTAAATTAATGAGTGAAAAAACTTTTTTTTTGTTAATATTTTTAATAATATCTTGATGATTTTCATTTCAGTGTATACTTCATGTTACACCTTGACAATCTTTCATCGTATTAAATTAAATTCATAAACATCCGTTTTCTTAGATCATCAATTTAAATTTTTAATAACCTCAAAAACGGTTTATTTGACACTATAAGTAGGTATACGATATCTGAACATCAAAATTATAATAAAAATGGAGTATACTATAACAATAATTTGTGTTTATTTCAAAAAATATAAAAGGTAGTTGATCTTTAGATGGCATGTTGTGATGAATGATGACAAAAGTTTGACTAGGTTGGTTTAAACTTACAAAACAAAAACCCGAAGTCGTTTGTTGTATAGAGTTTATTATTTAATAGATTTTTAGTGAAGGTATCTCATCATAAAGTAGGTTGTTGACACTTATTGTAGGTAGTGGATCATAGGCGGAGATACATTAAATTGCAGGGGATAACATTATTAAGATCAATGTTAGGGGGGGGTTTCGATCGCACAGAACTAATATCGTGATGGACTTTTTTTGGGGGGGGGGGGCTAAGCCTCCGTAATTCTCTCTCTCCAGATATCCAACTATGTAGTGGATGTATTCAATTTGAAATCATAGACAAATCATTATGCAAACGAAAAACAATTCTGCCTCTATTCATATTTCCCAAGGATATAATATTAATATAATTTATTTATATTACAATATAATTAATTGAATTATTATGTAGGTATTAGTAATACGGAAGTTGAACTAATTATTGCCAAAAGTATTGCATTTATAATAAAATGTTTATTATT